TCCTGAACTATATTCTATAATAACATCTACTTGTGCGAAGAGTTCTGTAGGATATTATGTGTAAGTGAAAAATACATCCTACAAAAAGCATCGGGTTTCAAAAACTGACGAAATATATGAAATAAATGCAATTAACGTTCATGGAGGGTTCGAAAGGTTCCAGTTATGTTCGATGTAACGTAATAAATTAAATATGTCGCAAATAGCTGCGTTTGAGCGACGTTGCATGTGTGAAATGACATGCCTCAAGGACTTCGCGTCACAAAGTTATGTTTAAAGCGGCGTTAAGCAAAACTCACTTACTCACCATACACTCAGTGTAAATTATAGCGCTAAATTAAACAATAGGAATCAATTTATATAGAAATAGTACGTGGCAAAGTGCCCTGGTACGGTTTCCTGAGAGAAGAACGGAAAGGAAATTCTGATGACGTCATAAGACGCCAAACAAACTCTCTCCGACGTCGTGTGCACGTAGTCATGCTTGCACGTGGAGCAGTGAGTGAGTTGGGTTCAACACCACTTGCACAGTATATCACGTATATCCAGTTTTATTATGCCTAAAAGTGAAATTGACCAATCAGAGAGCAGATCTACTAACCCCATTTGAGCCCGTATATCGTCAATAAAAAATCAAAGATGGTTGTTACTGACCTAATATGAGACCGTATACCGTCAGTAACAGCCATTTTGGATTTCCCAGTACCCACATCACATATTTCACATGAAAATTCTGGTACAGATATTCGTTATTCGACACTGTTTTGTGTTTAATATTATTAATTGTGATGTACAAGGACATTAGCAATTTTTTAGATCACGTTCGTGATTTCATTGATAAAGATTACAGTTAAAATAATCAACAAGGTTTGGCCTCTAAGATTTGAAGAGTTGTCTCCCTATGACCCTCAACATCAACGGTCGTAAGTGTCAAGTTTTCATTTTGACATGAGATGTGCGATATGCATACAAGATAGTGTAAACTTTTCGGCATGATAAATTCGTTTATGGTATCTTTAGTTGTTGTATACGGTGTCATATTAGATTATCAGAAAGATATTGTGCGCCTAATAATTTCTGCTAATATAATATGACGACTCGCCCAATATGTCTCTTAGACAATTTCAGCTTAAAAAGACTTTCTGTTGATTTATCTTTTAATAATTTTCGTAAGAGCTTACTCGGTCTTTGTAATTTACTAAATATACATATTATGAATGGAAGGCGCGTGTCAGACGCCTGTGTGGGAGATTTTACTTTTATAGGAAACCAGGGTGCGAGTGTGGTGGATTATGTTATCGCCTCGTCCGAGTTGTTTGATATGTGCCATAGCTTTGACATACCGTCTCGAGCCGAGTCATCACACCTTCCGGTCATGACTAGTTTACGTACGCTTCAAGTAAGTGACCCTACACCACGCAATACACAAAACAATGCTTCCTTTAAATTTGTGTGGGTTGAAGAGAAGGCTGAACAGTTTAGAACAAACCTTATTTCCGGAACTGCGTATGATTTACTGGAGCAGGCTGTAGATGTAGCATTTGTTACCATTGAAGAAAGTATTGGGTATATTACTGATGCTGTTATTATCGCTGCATCTGATATCAAAAAAAATTAATAAGGGCTATAGATATGATCAACAATGGTTTGATAGCGAATGCCAGCTACTTAAAAAAGGAACGATGTAGACGTTAAACTAACTTTAGAAAGAATACGGACTGAGGATCACTAACAGACTACGATGTTTGTAAGAAAAAAAATATTCCGAATAAAAACAGAAACTGTTGGAAACAAGCATAGATAATTCTAAAACATTTTGGTCTTTGCTAAAAGCCATTAAATCAAATAAATATTGCAAAAATGACATTGCTATTCAAGATTGGTTTGAGCATTTCCAGAAATTGTTTTCAGTTCCATTTAGCCATGACGATAACAACTTATTTGACATGAAATTCAACGAAGAAAAAGTTGACAGTGTAAAAGCTAATGTTATGGAATGTCCAATATCTAGCGAGGAACTTATTGACAGCATCTCCCACCTTAAAGATAATAAGGCATCTGGTAATGATATTGTGATAGCAGAGTTCCGTAAACATTCATCAGATATTTTAATACCATATTTGGGACTTATTTTTAATATCCTTTTGGAGAGATCATATTTTACCGAGAATTGGACAGTTGGCATTATTGTCCCTCTTCACAAACAGGGCGCAACTAGCGATGTTAATAATTACTCTCCTCAGTACATTCAGTAAAATATTTACTTCAATTATAAATAAGAGACTTGTTTTCTGGGCGGGCTCTTATGATAAAATAAGTGAGGTTTTAGAAAGGAATACTCCACCACTGACAATGCTTTTATCCTATATTCTATAATACAGAGATATCTATCAGTGAAAGGAGGGAAGTTATATGCTATATTTGTAGATTTTGCAATAGCTTTTGACTCTGTGAAAAGGGTTAACTTGTGGTTCCCCTTTCAAAGACATAAGCTAAGTAGCAGAATTGGAAAGTAATTGTGTTCCCTATATAAAAATGAGAAGGTGTGTGTCCGGAACAATGGCGCTATATCGGATAATTTTGTAGGTAGCATGGGTGTCCGACAAGGGTGTATATTAAGTCTCTTCCTATTTTCCTTTTTCATAAACTACATTCCGAAACTATTAAATCATTTCGGCTTCTTTTCGCTGACGACATTGTCATGTTCTCGAGCACAATACCTGGCTTGCAAAAGCAAATACATGTATTACAGAGTTATTGTAGTGGGTCCAGACTAACTATCAATATGAAAATAACACCAAAGTTGTAGTTTTACAATTGGTGCTAACGTATCCAGAAAAGAAAAATGACTTTACAGAGGGAAGCCTGTAGAAGTTGTTACTTAAGAGTGTGTTTTACAAGGATATTTAATTTGGTCAAGGAATGCATATAACATTTCATTACAAATTTTTCTCGGCATATTAAAAACGTCTATGTGTTCTGAACAATATTACATATGATGTTTACTTTAAAATAATTGATACAAAAATAAGCCCGATTCTATTGTATAAAATCTAGCACAGAAAACGCAAGGATATATGGTGAATGCAGAAGGTTTCCCATGTTTATCTATAGTTATTTAAAGGTTATTAAATACTGTGTCAAGTTATTAAAGATGCCATCTTCAAGATACCCTACAAAATGATATTATATTATGCTTCTCTACAGCAGCCATGGGAAACAAAATTGGGCATCAAAAGTGTTATACGAATGTGGATGTGGTTATATTTGGTTACAGCAACATGTAAGATATGCCACAGCATTTCTTCACCCGTTTGACACAGACCTTTAAATATATGTACATCCAATTATGGCATGGTTCCTTGTCCAGTTCTAGAAAAGCAAAGTACTACACTACATTTAAGACTACTATTATACCAGAACCTATCTATTAAGTGTAAATTTACATGAGTTTAGAACAGCTCTTTCTCGATTTCGTTGTGGCTCACATGATCTATTTAATGAAGGAAGATATGAAGATATTGCAAGAGACGAGAAGAGAAGTTTTAGGATTTGTAAAACTGATTGTATTGAAGATTAATATCACTTTTTATGTGTATGTCCAGTGAATAATGTTTTAAGAGCAAAATATCTAAATAAGTATTTCTACCACAACCCAAACGGTAACAAATTTTGTAAATTAATGACATGTTATTGTACAGACACTATGAGTAATATATCAATGTTTATTTATCATGCTATGAAACTAAGAAAATGTATGGATTTGTAACACGCCCCAGACAATGTACTATAGGTCTTTGGCCTCATCAGTACCATGAATAAAGATTGATTGACAATAACGCAAGTGCCCTCGCGTCCATATCCAATGCAGCCGACAGAGTGGAGAGAGTCACGATCGAGCGCACATAGACGTGTATCCTTACGCCAACCCACGTTAAAACAAAATAATTCCTGTCGCTGATTATTTTCAGTGATAACTCCACTACACACAACTCCTGTCAGTGGTTTCCAGTAATATGTCATTGACAAGAGTTTGTGTTTCATTGTCCAAGTCTGCGCAAAAGTGGTCACATATTTATCTTGAGGCATATGAGAGACATATAAGAATACATCTTCTTAACATGAATCCACAGAGTTTCTCCACCAAGACAGGAGTACTTACAGGAAATAGCATGCCACTGGAATTATGCGTCCCCGTTGTGCAACAACAAGGGAGGTAACCCAGTGACGTTTGAAAGAAGGAAAAAACAGTTGTCAGACGTGGGATTCGAACCCGCGCCGTCTGAATCCGACATCGCCTTAGACCGCTCGGCCATCTGACTGTTGGCAAACTGTACGCGCGTTCATACATTATGAGAACAGTTTAAGCAGACAAACAAAGAGCTATTTGAACTGCATGGTTTTCTGTAAGCCATGACTTTTATTACCATATTACGTGGATACAACAATAGGCCAAGTATGTTTATCAGGTCCACATTTACTGTTAAATATGTTTATTTTTACCCATTCAGCACCAATTACACCGATACCGAACCATTGTTGCACATATGTTATACAACCAAAGGCCGTTTTTGCACCAATGTCCATTTCATTTCTTCTGATCAACTGCTCCATCCACAGCTGAGCATGGAGATGAAAAAACTCATGAAAGCCCCGATCAAAGATGAAGACGACAAACAGATACCATTTGTTGCCAGTATACTTAGAACAACAGAAACAAATAACAATAAACAGTTTTACCATTTTATTGCCAACGTAATTGTTCATAAGTAACAAAAGACTCGATCATTTGTTTTGAACTCTCTTGTGCTTGTTTTAGTGGTTTATAAAACTCAACATCTCATTTAATTGTGCATAAAATACAAATCACAATTTGGTTTTGAGATCCGTTGTATTTGTTTCAATGGTTTATAACTGAATACATTTAATTGGGATTTTGTTGATCGTAGATTCATTTTCTTAACCAGTTTCGACGTCATTAGCCGCCACGGTGAACCACAGGACCAACATCGTGTTATAGGTCATTCGGGTGTTTTTTCTCCAAATCTGATGTGTGCTTCAAATCCGTTTTGGTATTTGCTTCGTCATCGCGCCCAGCATCTTTAAATAGGAAACATATTTTTAAATATAAGCTTTCCAACCATATCAGATGGGGTATTTTACAGAAATTCAAAATAGACGACAAATATCTTTATAGTGCCAATCATGGTAATGAAGATTTAAAAAGACATACTCTATTAATGCTGTAATGCACATGTGTACGTTGTGGTATTATTTACATCTGTAGAAAGCTTTCAGATTTTGAAAACAATGTGGTTCTTCACACAATACATGACACATTTTTCAAACTGTTATTTGCCATAAAATGTATTTAATCAGATTTGTAAATGATCCATGAAATTAAACATAAATTAATGTCATTCAAGAGATGAAGCATACGATACTATACCATTGGAGTCGCCATCATCGTCCTTGTCATCATCAGCAGTATCAGTGTTGACATCACCGCGATCTCTTACATTGGGACGTTTCTTTTTCATCTCATCCTTTTTGTCTTTCTTATCTTTTCCGTCGTCTTCGTCCACCGCGTTCCAACCATCATCACCGTCGTCGACACTGTTGATGCTGTTGTCCCCGGTGTCGTCCGTCTCCTTCTTATTATCTGCGAAGACGACCACCAGAACAGCGGCAAACACTACCAGCAACAGGGGTCTCATGGCCAATGGAAAACTCTGTAACATATATGTATATTATGTTGTACAACATGCAAAGAATGTGTTCAAATATATGAATCAGTGGATACTACACAACAAAATACTAACATACAACTACACACCAGTATAAGAATGTGTCAAGAACAATTTTTATTTCATAATTAAAAAGTAATGTAAATCAAAGGCATTTCTCAAAATGTGTACATTTATGAAGAAATTAGACACAATTTGTGGATAACAACTACTTAAATACTGTAAAAAGCGGCGTTTCGGTATAGATCCTTATACCGTTGTCAAGCAAAGTTATCCATAAATTGTGTCTACTTCGTCATCCATCAACTTCTAAGTATCACCCAAATATTACTTGCCCATGTTGATGGGCCTATTATGAGCAAACATAGCCCTGATCGAGAAAAAAAATGCACAAAAAATATTTCGCAGTTCATTTACGGATAAGCAAATAGTCCTGAAGTAAGTAAATATTTAGTTGTTAATTTTCTTAAGTTTCTTCCATGTCGCCGTGGCAGAATTCGTTAGCCTTCCGTAAGGACTTCGCGGGTTCGAATCCCGCTGGCGACAAACGTTTTTCATGGAATTGTTCTGTCATCAAGACAAATGATAGAGAAAGAAAGAAGTTCCTTCATTGCCAAGAGTTGTTTAACTGACAATTCGGTTTGCTCGACCACGATCAAAGACAAAGGAGCCATTGTTTAACTATTGTTAATGTGTCATGCCATGACACATTAACCATAGCAGTATCAACGAATCGGGTGCACCTTAACTTCTTTTGCGTGGGTCATATTGTCACTCACTCAACACAAGGTTTTGTCGCTTTAAGTTATGGCAAAACAGACTCATATACTGATTAACAAGAGAATATATGCCTTCAAGTTACCTCCGATAGCTCCAGGACTCACGATGCTGTTGAAGTGTTGAAGTGTCGACGACGAAGATCAGTTGTTAGTGTGAGGTTTCTTAAGTCTGTATTTATACTGTATTCAGAGCGTCATTTTTATAATGACCTGTGTTCACAAAGAGTTCAATACGTGTCTGGTCATGCCCCCTGCCGCCATTGTGTCAATCACTCTGTCATATTTCATGTATAAATAAAACAACGAAAACGCCATAACTATATATTTTTACATGGCTGTCTGATTCAAAGTAATGTGCGTGTAAGATATGTGAAAGATCTGAGACCTTTCCAAAGCCAACTTTTTATATTCATTCAGCGAACGGATTATACTTGTCAAGACCATAATTTGTCTCACGAACATCATGCGTTTTTAATGGACCATAAACTCAACAACATATCAGTATGTATTACTTAACAGTATCTGGGTCATACGTTAGTGACACGGTTCTATTTATGAACGTGTGTCGTCTTGGTTTATGCAACACATATGCTCAGGCATAATCACACACTTAAATAGTGTGTGTGTGTATGTCTCCTGAACTATATTCTGTAATAACATCTACTTGTGCGAACAGTTCTGTATGATATAATGACTAAGCGAACAATGCATCCCACCAACTGCATTGGGTTTCATAAACTGACGAAATATATGAAATAAATACAATTTACGATCATGGAGGGGAAAACAGGTTCCAGTTATGTTCGATGTAACGTGACAAATTAAATATGTCGCAAATAGCTGCGTTTAGGCGACGCTGCATGTGTGAAATAACATGAAGCAATGTGATGGCCACGCGTCACAACAGCCACTGAGGACCCCACCTTGAACCTTAAAACAATAATAAATAATAACGCTAGAATCCATACAATCGCATGCTTGAAGCGCTACAGTCAAACAATATGAATCAATTTATACAGAGATGGCATGTGGCAAAGTCCCCTAGTACAGTTTCCCACCCATGAAGGTCCGAGTAGAAGATGTCTTCAGCAACCCATACTTGCCGTAAAAGGCGACTATGCTTGTCGTAAAAGGCGACTAACGGGATCGGGTGGTCATGCTCGCTGACTTGTTTGATGTGTGTCATCGATCCCAATAGCTTGGATCGATGCTCATGTTGTCAATCACTGGATTTTCTGGTCCAGACTCGATTATTGACAGACTGCCGTCAAATGGCTGGAAAATTGCTAAGTGCGGAGTTAAACAGAAAAATAAATAAATAAATAGTACAGTTTCCCCTTCTCCGTGTCAGCATCAAGTTGGTCATATGCTTCTGTTACGTGTGGGATGAACGGCAGGGGCGTCCCGCTAATACCACAAATAAAAATTACAAGAATCACACAACAATCTCTGAAGTTTAAAGCTAGATTTAATAATTAAAACAAAGATAAGTATATAACAATTCTCAGTTACTGGGTAAGGCACTCATACACATCTGTTTAGGCAAAGCAATATGGCAAATGTGCAATATAGATAATAGTCACCTCAGATTTCTTGACATCCCATTCCCAATGAATTCCATTTCACATTGTTCCAAACTTATATATCACAGTTCACAGGATAACTGGGTAACAACAGTTTCCTCCTTCGAAGCGTCGACATGACCTTCTAACTTTGTCTCCGGACATAACGCTGGGCTGAACTGCCCTCGTTCAGTTAAACCATATTTCTCCCTCTCCAATTCTTTTTCCTTCCCCCTTTCTGTTCGATAACTTGCTCTCATATAGTAAACAAATTTCCAAGTAAGCTATCTACTTCAGCACACAACAATAGGTTGATCGGCCCACACCAATCAGTTACCAAGCCAACTCAAACTCCAATCACCCCACAAGCACGCTTCTCTCCGTCAGGCAGCTTGCTTAACTCAATCAAGCATGACGCCGTCCACCCAAACTGGACCCCTTGTGAACCACACAAATATACAACGTCAATCATAACACTTCACGATAACTATGTGTTTTAGTTGTGATTTAAAAGATTCAAAAGTGTTAGAACGTCTGATATGAATTGGAAGACTATTCCACAGACGATGGCCAGTTGAGTGAAAGAGCTGTATCCATAGCCTTTGAGAATATATTGTGGGACAGACAAGGAGTGTAAATCGTCTGATCGAGGTGATCTTTGTGACTGTTGCCGACGTAACAGATCCCTCGCCGTGACGTCATCTGCAGCGACTGCGTGTTGACGTGCCATCAATCGTCATGCAGTACGTCACCGACTACGACAGCATGATATCAGGGCCTATCCACCATTCAGAGGAATGATGTTGATGCGGCAGAATCGACTTGCAACGCGTGCTTCTGTCAGAGAGAAGGTTCCAGTTGTTCAGACGGTTCTGACGTCCCAGGAATGGAAGGAAATTCTTTTTATTTCATTAGACGCCTAACAAAATTTCTCCGACGTAGTGTGCACATTGTCATGCTTGCACGTGGAGGAGTGAGTGAAATGGGTTCAACACTACTCTGTACAGTATATCACATATATCAAGTTTTATTATGCCTAAAAGTGAGATTGACCAACCAGAGAGCAGAACTACTAACCCCACATGAGCCCGTTTACTGTCAGTAAAAATCCAAGATGGTTGTTACTGACCTAATATGTGACCGAATACCGAAAGTAACAACCATTCTGGATTTGCCAACACCCACCTCACATATTTTATGTGAAAAGTCTGGTACAGAAATTCGATTATTGACACTGTTTTGTGTTTAATACCATTAATTATGATGGGCAAGGACATTAATGGGTTTTTTATCACGTTCGTGACTTAATTGATAAACGTTTTTGTTAAAATAATCAACAAGGTTTGGCCTCTAAATTTGATGAGTAGTCTCCCTTTGACCCTTAACATGAACGGTTGTAAGTGTTAAGTTTTCATTTTGACATGAGATATGCGATATGGATACCAGATAGTGTAAACGTTTCGGCATAATAAATTCGTTATGGTGTCTTTAGTTGTCGTATACGATGTCATATTAGGTTAGCAGAAAAATATGTTTCTGCTAATCTAATATGACGCCTTGCACAACACGTTTCTCCTAATATGACACCTATAGGGCAACTAAAGACATCTTAACCAATAACATCACGACGTGCCGGCTAAATGTGGGCGGGAAACCTAAAGGGATGCAGCCCCCAGACAATTACTACTTTGGTGTGTTCTGCCGTTACCAAATGTGTTCTGACCCGTGAAGATCCGTGATAGAAAATGACTTCAGCAACCCATTCTTCCCGCAAAAGGCGACTATGCTTGTCGTAAGAGGCGACTAACGGGATCGGGTGCTCAGGCTCGCTAAACTTGGTTGATGCATGTCATCGATCCCCAAATTGCTTGGATCGATGCTCATGATGTCAATCACTGGATTTTCTTGTTCAGACTCTATTATTTACAGACCGCCGTCATATAACTGGAATATTGGTGAGTGCGGCGTTAAACAACAAACAAACAAACCAACGTGTTCTGCCGATACATGTGACCTGTTACTGTTGAAGACTGGACTCCGTATTCACTGATGAATATTGTGAGCTCTTGTTAAACTCAGACGGATCACGTACATTCATGTCACACTTTAGCGAACAAAGTCAATTTCTTTAGAATTCAAGACTCAAGCAATATGTTCGGCTGCATCCATGTTTATTTCATTTCTACGATTGGTGTTACATGGTTCTGGTGGCATTATTCAGTGTTCTTATCCAAATTCTAACACATTTGAGTTTGGTAAAGTTTTCTTTGCTCGTCAGTGTACATATAACTGTACTATATATGTTAATACGATGGTTCGTGTACAAACATGACAACATACATGAAATAAATACGGATCATATATTGGGTGAAGTTACTGAGATGAGGGAAGTCAGTTTCCTTTGCCGTTGTTACAACGTTCTATTCTGTTTACAGATATATAAAAATGCGTACAAAGCAAACGAACAATATGACGGCTCGGGGTACATAGGCTCACACACAGGGTACATCACGCCATATGCCCCGAGGGATCGGTTGCCATCAAATTAATCTCACCGATATTCATTCCTGGAACAGATGCCCGATAGGTTTACTTTATTTTAATGTTCCTGAGCTCCAGGCCTTGGTGTCTACATTTCAAAACTTTTAGGGACAATCGAGTATACTCTTTCTACCAAGATTCCAAAGAGCGTCGTATAGCTCTTGCGCAGAAGTGTTTGATCAATGTTACAACATTCAAGGCGCCAGTTAAGCTTTCCAAACGTTTGATGGCAGTCATGTGGAGGACATTTCCAAATTTTCAGCCCCAGTGACAAGAATAATGTCATATACAATTCCCTTTAATGACTTGCACCATATGTTCCTGTGGGTATTTTTCAGTTGAACAATTGATTTGCCTTTGCATGTGTTTGTGACGGGTGCCACCGGTGGGGCCAGATACGCCTCTATGATACGATGTACGACTCCACATCTGTACTCTTTGATAGTGATTCACATGTTCATGATATAGTCGGAATCGTACAATGGACTCTTCTTTTGGCCGAGATGTCTTATGACTATGGAAAGGGTTCTGTTACTCTTATTTACGTTCAGCAGAATGTTTGTGGTGACCATTAACAGTGCTAGCGTTTCTGTGCTCTTGTGTATAAACGAGTGTGCAGTTTGTGGGTGAATGTGTGTGTACATTATGTGTAAATGAATGTGTAGTTTGTATATGGATGTGTTTGCCATTTGTGTGTAGATGTTTGTGTAATTTGTGTGTAAATGTGAGTGTGGTTTGTGTGTGAATGTGTGGTTTGTGTGTGAATGTGTGTGTGTATTTTTTAATGTGTGTATAGTGTGTGTGTGTCTCTGTGTTTTAAGTTTTTCTTCAGCGTATATTTTTTTATGTTTTGGAAATATTACAAAATTTGGCACATGGGTCTTCCGATTCACAACACAAAAAACGGATACCTAGACACTGTCAATCCTTAAAATTAAATATTGTAACAACATATGTTCTCAATAATAGCTGATGAATGACAAAATATCGTATAAAAAAATACAAATACAAGTGATGAAATAAATAAACATTCATGGCGTTGGTATAAATTCTGTGACGTGATGTGACTCAGAAAACTGGGTATGTACGCCATAAAAGTCAGTAGCCAATCAACGCAGAGTAGCATCTAGCAACGTTTATAAAGCCTGTCAATCATTAAAAGATGGGAAAACCCGAGTCATAAGTCATAACAAACAACATTGAACAAGATGCTCTTCCGGCGTACGCATTTATTATGGGGAAATAACTCCCAACTACAGCATGAACAAAGTTTAGCTACCCCTGAGGTGCTAGAGCTTGCAGACGCTATACGTGCTTATCCTTGCCACATTACATTCAGCATATACTCGGATTGAAAGGATATTTTAGGCTATCGATTCGATAGTTATGTGTATCGACATTCGTTATCGTGCTTAAGGATATTTGGAGGTGAAATCTGTGATGCGTTCTTCGTGATTTTTAAAGAGTCGATTTGAATTGCAACAAAATGAATCCCAATATTGGAACATGAAACAGATTTTCTGCTAGAAACTGACTCGTTCTGGCACGCAACTTTATTGAGAATAATAATTGATCTTTACCAAAGGTAAATTTTTATTCTAGCTTACAATGATCTTATCCCACAATCGCTCAGTGCAAGGGGTGACATTTGTATCAGAAGAATAAAATCGCGATCTAGCAGGTTTCAATAACTGCAACGATAACGATTGCTAGATTACAGGAAAATACGATTTTAACGAACTCAAAAGTGACCACCAATCTTATTTCGTTATAACCGTTATGAACAGGACCGAAAAATAGTTCGTTATAATCGTCAGTTCGTTATAAGCGTGTTCGTTATAAACGTAGTTTACTGTAATTTGATCCTTGACATCCCTTGAACACTATCTATCTGTTGATATTACATACGACCATCTGTGTTTCACTTTTCCATCAGGTGCAAAATTACCGTTCCGCTAAAAACTGATACCTAACCATTTTTGCACATATCTAAAACAAGCAAAGACAGGGTGCTGTATCAGGATCATTTCTATTTGTTCTGACAACCAGTCCCACCGAATCTGAGCATAGAGGTGAAAAACCCAGTGGATGCTCCATGCCAAGGACCAAGACGATAAACACGACCAACTTGTTGCCAGTATACTTAAAAGATGGTGAGGTGAGGTGAAATGGGGTTTAACGTCGCGTCCAAGATTATTGCACTTATATAGCGACGTGCATGTACGTGAGTGTGTGTTTGTGTGGCTGCTTGAACTAGTCCGGACTGATGCCGATTTATAATGCCAGCTCACTGAGATACCATTCCGCAGTTTAACATGAATATCCCACTCAGACACAGTATACTGACTCCGAGCCGACCAGTCCTTGTTTTAGCCCCTTATTGCCGAGCGCCAGACAGGGTAACAGCAAGTATAATCTTTTAACGTCTTTTGGTATGACGCGGCCGGGGATCGAACCCGGACCTTCCGGTCTCCGGGCGGACGCTCTACCACTAGACCACGGAGTATATACTTAAAAGAACAGAAACAAACAACAATAAACAGTTTCATCATTTTATTATCTACATAATCTTCAGAAAAACAAAAAATCGTAATCATTTTTGTTTTGAACTCCGTTGTATTTGTTTCAATGGTTTACAAAAGCTAACATTTAATAGGGATTTGGTTGATCGTAGATTCTTTTTTCTTCGCCAGTGTGGGCGGCATGGTGCAACTCAAGGATCGTGAAGCTCATCTAGGTAATTCAGGTCAATCGGTTGTATTTCCTCCAAATCAGATGTGTCCTCATGATCATCATACTCAGCATCTTCGAACATGAAACATATATATAATTTATCCAACCATGTAAGATGGGATATCTACAGAAAAAGAACAATGGAGGTATGAAACATATTGTAATCAATCATGGTAATGACGATTCATAAAGACATGATATATCATTGCTTTGAGGCATGTGTACAATATCTATTTTGATTCTGTAAAAAAAATGACGTTTAAAAAACAACATGGCTCCTTACAAATACAGGATACTTTTTCCAAACAGCTATTTGCCACAAAATATATTGAACCTTGTTCAGATTTGTAAATGATCCTTGAAATTATACCGAAATTTAATTGTAATTCTATGAAGTATGCGATGCTTTACCATTGGAGTCGTCATCATCGTCCTTGTCATCATCATCATCATCATCATCATCATCATCATCATCATTTGCGTCAGTGTTTACATCATCATTCATATCTATTCCGTCGTCTTCGTCCACGGCGTTCAAACCATCATCACCGTCGTCGACACTGTTGAAGCTGTTGTCCCCGGTGTCGTCCGTCTCCTTGTTGTTATCTGCGAAGACGACCACCAGAACAGCAGCAAGCACTACCAGCAGCAGGAGTTTCATGGCCAATGGTAATTTCTGTAACATATGTATGTACATTATGTTCATCCACACATATGTGTCCATAAACTCAGTGACATCAACCTTTACACGCAAATGAAATACTAGTATTTATGTTAAAAAAAATAAACATATTGTCATAAAAAATGGAATATAAATCAAACGCAAAGGGACGTCAATATTTCTAAAATAGACTCATGTAACAGGTGATCTGTATGTTTTCCTCGTACTGTATTTATTTGTGATAGAGAAGAGACATATAAAAACGTGTACTACATCAGCCACTCCGCGATGTTTCTATTATTTCATCACTTCTACAACGATCGAAAGCTTTATGTTACCAATATTTAATGGTATATGAGCAATATAAACATTGAAACACTGCCTTAATGTTACATCAAAAGGTGGCCTTATTGCTGACTAACATTAAAATATATTTGTGATATTTTGCTGGGTCCAACAAATTTACCACCAAATCCTTTATAATCCTTTATACAAACCAGGAAGGAATTTATGTTCACGCAAAGAATTTGCTTGAATCTTTGCAATCTCAGGAAAGAACGAAGTTCAACTATGTCAAATATTTGAGTTTTCAACCTTATACACCACTTTCACACTCGCAGAAACTTCAGGGAAAACTTATATTATTGATCCATGTGGCGTTGGTCACTCAACATTGTGACCAGTTTGGGACAACTGTCAAAAATGAAAACAAATGTCATAAAAAGTTTACAGTTAAATTTGTGGATATGACATTTCTTCAAACCGCCTCACATGTTTCACATTTAGACCTATGCATAAAGATTCAGAGTGACAAATAACTATCCAGGGACTTTAAGAAACAAGATGGCTGACTTCAACATTTCAATAGCCAACTTTCAGAGCAATATTTCAACTGCTCCAGGCCTTAGTGTCTACATTTCACAATTTTTTAGCATACTCTTTCGAGGAAGATTTCAAGGAGCTTCCTACAACTCTTGCTCAAACTTGTTTGATCATGGTTCAAGGCCTGAGTAAAGCTTTCAAAACGTTTTATGGCATACATGAGGAGAACATTATCAAATTTAATGCCCCAATGACAAAAATGATGTCCAATGCTTGACCTTATTTTAATGTTTACCATATGTTCCCGTGTGTTTTTAAGTGAATTTAATGGACTTCCCTTTGCATGTGTTTGTGATGAATGTCACCGCTGGGGCAGGATACGCTCACCTTTTCGCGGACACCTGGTATCATCATTATTTGATTGTGATCCATAAACACATGCGCACGATACGTATACTCGGAATGGACTGATTTAGCCAAGATTACTGGGGTTCGGCGTCAGGCAACAAATATCATCTTTTGTGAGCACATTGTGAGAATGGCGGCTGCCACCAGCAGGGCAGGAGATCCCCCCCGTTTGTGTCATCACTGATTTTCAACTGTCCATTCATATAACGCCTATAATACCTTTTCCTCCGAATGGAATCTGTTTCGGCTGATAATCATTTTAAGATTATGGAATGGTTATGTCGCTTTTATTTACCCGATATATCGTCACTCACGCATTCTATCTTCACGCGAGAACCTGATGACGACGCCTTATCGCGACGGATAACAAAAGAAGAAATCTCTACACTTTACCTCCGATAGCTCCAAGACTCACGATGCTGTTGAAGTGTCGCAGATCAGTTGTAGTTGTGAGGTTTCTAAAGTCTACATTTATACTCGTTCATGTCCCGTGTCACTGTCCCCTGCGGCGATTTTCGTCAATCGGTCTGTCACATTTCAGGCTTATATTTGTCAGAACTACATTTTTTATATGGCTGTCCAATTCAAAGAAATATCCGTGTAAGATATATAAAAGGTCTAAGACTTTTCAAATGTCAACTTCAATCTATATGCAAACAGCAAAATAATTGTCATGACTATAATTTGTCTTTGAACAGCCTCGTTTGTAATAGATAATATATTCATGATAGTAACCTATCAGTATGCATTACTTATCAATAAATTGAGGCCGTTTGGGTAGCCCGGTGGTCAAAGAGTTCGCTCGTCACGCCGAAGGCCCAGGTTCGATTCCCGACAGTGTGTGAAGCCAATTTCCGGTGTCCCCCGCCGTGATATTGCTGGAATATTGCTAAATGCGGCAATTAACCAAACTCACTCATTATAATACAAATGCATCTATGTCATATATGCGACACAGTGTGTTTGTGTACAATTATAACTATATACCATTTATAGGGTGAAGAAAAAACCCATACTTTTGTGTTTTTATATAACTCGACCTCAAGCTGGTTGGACAAAATATAGAGAATAATTTATTGCAATAACCTGATCTGTCGAGCGCGAGCACGTTACAAATCAACATTGTTTGTTCCTACAACACAACAGGACCAATGTCAAGGAAGAATAATATTGTCAAAAGACATAACGAAACAGCATCATTCCAAGTAAATGAGAACACACATGAAGGTATTGGCGTCACAGTTTGGGGGAAGGGATTAGTTGTTAAATAACTCTTCAACAATCAAGACTCACATCGGCACAGGAAACAATCTTCATCCTTCAGAGTGTCGCACTTGTCACTCAATATCGTATATGCCGACGCCAATCTTCTCGGAGGGCCTGTGCTAACTGACACTTCTTATAAGAGTGACCTGGTCGTGCTCTAATTTGTCGGTCAAGATGATCCCACAAGTGTTCTGTTGGTGATAAGGTTTGTGATTGTGCACGCCATGGCACGACGTTGTATGGTGCCTTGTAGTTTGGTTCTGAAACAGTGTCCGGGATTATTTTGCAAGAGGGGCAGAACAACAGGGTTGAGAGAATAATCGATGGAACGCTGTTAAGTGATGTTCCCTTTCAAAATTACCAAATCTGTTGTGACTTGGCTACAGATGCCGACTTGACTTGGCTACATATGCCGCCTTAAACCATAACCGCCACCTCCAAACGGTTCGACATATTGCACGGAACAACGTGATGTTCCTCCAACACGTCCATCTGGAACATGACTCTTTGCCCAGGTTCTCTTCTACCAGCCTCGCGATGTGCGATCCCATCGATGTCGGTGTTCCGGTATCAGCCTTACCTCTCGAAGTGGTCTGCAAGCTCTGATATTGTACCGACGCAGTCTCCTGGACACTGCCCAGCGACTGACAGGGTGACTGTCGCAACTGATGACGTCACCGTTATAATACGATTCCTCAAAGGGAGGAAATGCATGTGGTGTTTTCCTGGGTGGTGAGTGTAATTCGGCTACAGCCACAACTCCCCGTGGTCATGCGTGGTCATGCGTGGTCATGCGTATCATATCAACGGCGTTTTCTGTCTGTTGTAATTAGTTGCGTTTATTATTATTTTTGTCACCATCCAACGGTTCGGGTGTGAATTATATATAGGTTTTGGTTGTGCTTGAGCGCTTGATTCTCAACCATTAGGGGTTTGGACCCAACGTGTCAAAATTTCAGTTTGGTCACGGTTCTTTTGTTTGTCACTTTACGTAAAACGTTATGCTATTAATGTCCCTTCATCCATGCTTTTAGTAATTCAAAAATACATTCCTCCAGCCGTTGTAATAAAAACATGTTAAGTTGACCAGTTTTCTGCCAATTTGAAAAAACTACACACAAGGCTTTTGCTACACATGGTCTTCTATTGTACTGCTATATTCATTGTTCTGTTGTAGAATCACCTACACATGTACAGTTATTATGTTTTAGTGAACAGTGAGAAAGTTTAAACATTCCTTCCAATGGTTGAATTCGATATCTGACGTAAAACATCTCAGCACCTAAAAATGAAATATGCATTTGTCACTTCAAGATAAGACAGTTGCAACAGTTTCCTGTATGGCATTCAGCAAGCTCATCTTGACAATCTACAGCGTGTTCAAAATACACCTGTCAGGCTCATTACACGAATGCGCGACCACGTAACACCAGGTCCTCAAAGACCTGCAGTGGTTACTGATGACACAGAATCATTTTATTTGTCTACAAGTCACTCCATAGTCAACTCCAGGGTACCCACAAGAGCTGAACCGGAACGGGCAATATGATCGGCACGCCAACAACAGATGGTGGTACCACCAACCCCGATACTAACGTATGGAAACAGAACCTCTCGCAGAGATGGTGCTGCTCTATGGAATGAGCTTCCAGTGGGTGTCAGAAGATCCGATGATTATCAACAGCTGCCCGGTCAACACACAAGACCGTCCTCTTCCAAAGAGCGCATGACTGAGCGCTCTTGAGCAGGGAGTATTTGGATAAGATACACTGTGTATATCTTTAATTTATATTATGATAATAATTCGGTCAAGTAATTGAAGGATGGGTTTAATATATATTGGATGATAGAAAGTAGCTAATAGGGTCAAGGATAATAGTTGAAAATGTTATCGGAAACTTTAAGGTACCTATAGATGTGCCAGTTTAAGATTGTAACAATAGTGTCAAGCAAATTAAGAAATGCTTAAATAAAAAATGTGTTTTAGTAACTTCTAAGGCAGTCCTTTCCAAATGCTGCAAACACATCCAAGGATTGTCTGCAATCGAAACAGCTACCCAATAGCAATGGCAGAACTTCCACTAGTGATTATATTGCGATCATAAAACAAATGGCACCAAACATTTCTGCGATTAAATTACTTATTTGGGTCTGGAAACGTTTTTTTCAGTTGTGCTGCTGTAAAATAGCTTTGTGAACAAAAACGTGCAAGAGGAAAAGTAAGTGATTCCCAACTGTTCCTTTGAAAACACATGTGCTCATCTATTCAGTAGTAGGTGTGTCTATCTTCGCTTTAAACATTAGCAATGCCTTCAGCCACTTTCGAGTTAATATTGTGTACAGAAACACGTATGGCATTGGAACAGTATTCCAAAAATCTTGAATAGGGGAACCTTCTATTGTGATGGTAATGATTTCTATTCTCAAGCTTTGCGATTATTGCTATAGTTGTTGTAAACTGTGACTTTCCGATTTCACGAACTCCACATATTGGTGGGTTTGGTTCCACGCCGCTTTTAACAGTATTTCAGTTTTATCACGCATGTCAGCTTGATGTGGGAGGAAAGCCCGAAGTGATGCAGGTTACTTGACATTACCACTTTGGTGAAACCAATCAAGGGTAAGGTGCTCAAAAACCTTGAAACACACACAGGCCCAATCTAGCATTCGAATACAACCACAGGAGCATGGAGCGTCTAGGGGACGCAGCTCTGCACAGCGAATTACGGCGCGTTAGACGGAATGTTCCGAGCTCTGCGTCGTACTGTAATAGTGATTCATTGCAATAGACAGTTGCACACCTTCTGTAACATGGCGGTAATAGTCACAGTCTTAAACGGCACATACGACATTCAAGCCCTTAATCGAAAACTGTTTGTCTGTGCAATTTCGTTGACTATTTGTACTACTACTACAAACACCACCACTACTACTACTACTACTACTACTACTACTACCACCACAATCACTACTACTACTACTACTACTACTACTACTACTACCAGAAGGAGAGGCAATAAGACACCCCGCTCAATTAAACCCCATTCCACTTTTTGTTTTACCAGCGTCAGATAGAACAAAGCTGGCATATCACCCCGCCTCCGGTAGTGCTTTAGGACGTAGCATGACACAAGTCCCGGAACATAGACAAGGTGTTACATGATAAATGACTGATTTATTATCACAAAAAAGTATGAAATAATGTTGACTGATAATGATTGAAACCTGGCATGATAATATGTTCACGGTGTTTTTCAATCGCTAGGCAGTTTCACCTTAAATAATAGGTTTTATACATAGTTTGTCAAATACTATTAAGTAACAAAAAATATGTATTATTGCAGCACATCGGACAGTGTAACTATTATGAATAAGAATAAGATCAAAAATTTGTATCCGCATTTTTAAGAAATATATATGTATACGTTAGGAATGTACTGTTGACATAGCTTTGTTTGTTTGTTCGTTGTTTTACGCCTCACTCAGCAATTATTCAACTATATGAAGGCGGTCTGTAAATAATCGAGTTTGGACCAGGCAATCAAGTGACAGACATCATGAGCATCGATCCAAATAATCTGGATACGATGACATGCATCAACCAAGAGCCTGACCACCCGGCAAGCAGGTGTTGCTCAAGACCTGTTCTACCCCGGATCTTCATGGGTAGTTGACATAATGCAGACCGTAGCAGTGTCTTAATGTTAAGTCATTGAATCTTACGAGCGACACTTGACTGCACTTTCGTTAAAAAATACCGTCGCGACAGATACGTTAACTTTAAGGAGTTGGGTTACTTACAATCAGCTTTCGTGTTATTGTTCAGGAGGAGTGACTGCGTGGTACATTTGAGTTGACAGTATTCATCCCTGGTGACTGGGGATCTATGCAAAGGTGTTGCACTGCAAAATGTGTATCTATTCATATTGATAACATTTAAGTATTCAGTCTTACTTGTCAAAGCCATGTATGAGTAATGAATAAGAAAGAAGAAAGGATTCAAATGTCGTTCCCTGGTCTGGTGATACTTGAAAACTTATAATTTGCGTCAGAAAATAAATAGCGCCCAAAATTGCGTATTAAGGTAATCCTATTTGTTTTATTCAAAAGAAGGTTTAAATCTCTGATTAATCCGAAGATGAGGTTTCATAATCGTCGGATAATCAAGACTGGTTATTCTC